TATTTGGCTGGGTTTACAGTACCACACATGAATTTCCTCCCATTTAGTGGGCTTTAAGTACAGTTAGGTAGATGTTGATTACCCCCAAGATAAAAGTGCCACTACTGCCCTAATGTGGTTTGCTATCCTGGTCATTGATGTGGTTTTTATGCTTTGAAGCTAGGGTTGGACCATTGATTGATGTTCTCCCTTACCAGCTTACGTAGTGCTCGCCAAAGCTATGAGAGCTAGCCTTCAGGGAAGGTGGCTTCCAGGTCAGTTCTAGCTCCATTTCTACTAATTTTCTCTCCTGATTTTGTATCCTGCTGTTTTGTTAAAAGTGTTTATCACATCTAAGAGCTTTCTGGTGGGTTTCTAGGGTTTTTTAAGCAAATGGGGATAATTAGACTTCTTCCTTTCTTATTTGCATCCCTTTTATTTCTTTTTCTTGTTCTATTGCTCCAGCTAAGACAGGGAATACTAGAAGGAATGAGTGGAGGGAGGAGACACTAGGCACCCTTGTCTCATTCCAGATGCAAGAGGAATTGCTTTCAGTTTTTCCCGGTCTTGAATAACGGTGGTCATAGGTTTGTTACAGATTGCCTTTATAATGCTGAGGTGTGTTCCTTCTCTTCCTCATTTCTTCAGGACTTTTATCTGAAGGGGTGTTGAATTTCATTAAAGACTTTCTGCATCTATGAAATGACATGTGATTTCTGTCCATACGTCTACTCATATGTGCATTAGATTTATTAATGTTGAACCAACCTTGCATTCCTTGGATGAACCCAACTTTATCTTTTTAAATTTTTTTTTTAAATCTTTTTTTCTTTAATTTTTACAAAAACTTTATTGAGAATTTCATACATGCATAGAAGATGTTTTGACCAAATCCATGCCCACTCCCTCCCCTCCAACATTCCCCCATCTGAAGAGGTAACCCTAAAATCTTTTAAGGATTAGATATAAGCTCCCAAATGCTTTTGACATGTTTAGCCTTGGAACATATGAATATATTGTCTGCATGTATGTAAATGTATTCATGTCATTGCAGTTCTCACAGAGGTCAGAGAGGGTGTTGGGTCCCCTGGCACTGGAGTTACGAACAGTTGTTAGCTGTTATGTGGGTGAATTGAAACCAAGTCGTCTGCAAAAACAGCCAGCTCTCTTAACCCCTGAGTTATCTCTCCAGCCCCATAAAACCAACTTTATTATGATGGTGCCATATGATTTACTTATATCCTTGGATTTCATTTGCAAGTATTGTATTGACAACTTTTGGTGTCTGTGTTCATTGGAGAAATTGTTCTATAGATTTCTTGTTGTGTCATCTGGTTTTGGCAGCAGGCTTTGAAAAATGTGTTTGGTAGTGTTCCTTCTCTATCACATGGAACTATTTGAGATGTTCTGGTGTTAGCTCTTCCTTAGAGGTTTTGTGGAATTTGGGGGTTAGATGGTTCAGCAGATAAAGTACCTGCCATACAAGTGAGAGGACCAAAGTTCAGATTCCCAGCACAGATTCCCAATACCCATGTGTATGCTGGACAAACGTGGCAGTCAGTATATGAGAGTCAGAGACAGGCAATCCTTGAATCAAGCAGGACAGCTAGACTAGTTGAAATGGTGAGCTCTGGATTCAAGTGAGAGACTCTGCCTCAATACATAAAGTAGAGAGAGATCAAAGAGGCCATCCAACATCAACTTCTCTGGCCTCCACATGCATGCTTACACATGTGCATGTGCACACTCCCCCCTCCATTTACAAATACAGAGATATGGAGAGAGAGAGAGAGAGAGAGAGAGCGCTATTTGGTAGAATTCATCAGTGAATCTGGTCCTAGACTTATCTTTGTGGAGAGAAATTTGATTATAGATTCAATCTCATTGCTTGTGATTGGTTTGCTTAAGTTGTTTATATCTCTTTAATTTAATGTTGTTAGGCCATATATGTTTATTTTGTCTATATATGCAGGTGTTTGTTGTTGTTGTTTGTTTGTTTGTTTGTTGCTTTTGCTTTTTTGAGACAGGGTCTCCCTGTAGCCCCAGCTAGCCTGGAACCCCGTATGTAAACCATATGTGGCCTCAGTTTTACAGAAATCAGCAAGCTTCTGTCTCCTGAGTACTGGGATTAAAGGCATACTTCAGCATACCCAGTTAAAACTGGAAAATATAACTGGGCATGTCTCAAAATTCTCAAAATTAATTTTTCCTGCCATACAAGTGAGAGGACCAAAGTTCAGATTCCCAGCACAGATTCCCAATACCCATGTGTATGCTGGACAAACGTGGCAGTCAGTATATGAGAGTCAGAGACAGGCAATCCTTGAATTCTGTGACTGTTCTTTGCAGTCTGTCATAACATCTCTTTTCATTTTTAATTTTGCTAATCTGAGCCTTCTTTTTCTTTTGGTTATTTGGGTAAGGGAATTCTTTGATTGACTCTATGTATAATTGTTTTATCTCCATTTTATTAACTGCTGCCCTGATCATCATCAGTCTTGCCATCTACTGCTTTTAGATCTGTTCTTGTTTTTCTAAAACCTTGAGTTGCATCATTAGGTTATTTATTTAATATCTCACTGATTTTTTTAATGCAAACATTTACAGCTACAAACTGTCTTCTTAGAACTCCCTTAATTTTGTCTTTAAAGTTCTAGGAATGTGGAGGATACAGAAGGGGCCAGGGACATAGACCCTTCCCAGGGGTCTCCTGTAGCCATGGTGGATCACCATGCAGTATTGTTGCTGTGGGCCCTATCTGCTAGGTTTCCTCTCTCTCTCTCTAGGGCTCCCCTCTTTGAGAAGCACCCTGTTTCCATGTCCTAGAATCTAGAGTTTTGCACACTTATGTGGGGGCCTTTGGGGTCTCTGAGACCACTGATTCAGGAACTCAGAAATGCTCATTTTCCTTCCTTCCTTCCTTCCTTTCTTTTTTTGAGATCTTATGGTGGTGGTGGTGGTGGTGGTGGTGGTAATGGTGGTGGGTGGGGATGGAGGGATGGTGGCTGTTGGGGACCTCTGTTATGCAAAGTAGAAGTCTCTTCACGTCCAGATAGCTCACGAGCTCGGAGACCATGTACTGAAGACTCCTTTCATAGCAGGGTGCCTTCCTGGCATTCTTCCTGACTCTTCTTTTGAAGTGCCCGCCACAACTGCCATAGCATAAACATGGCTTTTGGCTCTGGAATACCATGCTTTCCTGTGTGTGATTTTCCAGGCAGCCAGCAGTCTGGCAGAAATCCACTTCCACATGTAAATAGAATGTCTCACAAAGTATCTAAAAGCTTTTACCACTACCCCCTGGTATAAATATCCCAGTCTTTCTCTCAACATCGGAGATTGGGCTACAGAGAGAGCAGAGACACTTAATAAAGCTGTAACACAGACTGAGCCGAGCCTTGAGTCTTGTGTTTACTACCGGCGGTCCAATCTCTCCAGGGGGCGCACTCCCTCGTTACCGACTCGCGGGCATCCTAGCTTTTGCTGTCCCCGTATTCTTTCCACGTGGCCCAAGTGGCCAGTGGACCTCACATCCTGAGAAAGGTACACGGGTGAAATAGGGACAGGTTTCGGCAGAACAACGCTTCTGCAGTGGAGGAGCTTTCAGCACTGGAGCGGCGAACAGCGACACACCTGTCGCCGTTCCCAGAGACGCGGGGCCAGAGACGCTTGTGGCCAAACTCGCGCCACAACTCGCCAGGAGTGGCGGGGGCCCCGAGGCACCCGCGCACCCACGCCCGGGCAGCCCAGAACGCCACCCTATAGATGGCCATCCTGAGGTTGTAGGAAATTGTCTGGCCTTGCTCTGTGGGATCTGATGGAGTCACAGCCTTCCATTGGGGATGTAAGGGTTCATAAGGTCCAGTGTTATGGTATGGCAGGAGAGGGTCAAGGGAAGGGGCACCAAGTCTGTCCTCTAGGGTCTCTGGAGAGCACACAACTCTTTTAGTAGGAGACTGGGGAGAGACAAGCTGTGGCCCTGGAGGTGACAATGATTTGTCTGCCTTTGGGAGTCTGAAGCACAGGTGGCCTTGTCCTAGAAAGGGTCTCCTGTGTTTTGGTATTTGGAGAAAACCCAGTGGTACCCCCTGAAGGTCTGAGGAAAACATATAGACTTGTCATTGGGAGTAGGGGGCATCTGGTCTTACTCTTCAAGACTAGGGACACAATCCAGGTCCAGGGAGCCATGATTCATTCACTCAACAAATACTTATTGATCAGCTAGTAAAATACAGGCACGTTGTAGGCTCCCCAGAAAGTGTCCGCTTTGCCTTGGTACAGATCTTTACTAAGGGGAGAGCACTAATGAGTTCATCCCAAAGGAAGTATAAGGCCTGTGGGATGCTCTGTCTGAGACCTTGGACTACTTCAGTGCCTTTATAAAACTGGTTTCCCCCACCAGCCAGGAATCCAAACTGCCTAGGAATAGGACTAGGAGTCTCGGAAGTACTTAAGCTTCTGACTTAAGGCCTGGGATCCAGGACAGAGAGCCAATTAGGAGGAAAACAGGAATCAGAGTTGGGACCTGGGTCTCCATCCACAGTGAGAAGTGGTGAGCAGGGCTGGGGGTTCATTCTACCTTCTGCCTGGCATTAGTCCACGCAGAGAGCTTTGCGGGGGGGGGGGCTGGTTGTGGGCTGCTTCATTTTCAGAAACCCAGAAACCTTCGAGGTACTGCCTTGAGTGTGTCTGCAAAATTGAAAAGGTGGGAAGGTTTTCAGTCTGCATTTCTGGGTGGAGCAGAGTCGTATTATGTATGTCAAACCAATCTTGAACCCAGGGCAAACATCCTGCTTCAGTATCCCCAGTGTTAGGAGTTCAGGCCTGAGCCATCAAGCCCTACTGGTGTGCATCTAGACTGGCCACTCTGAACTTTGAGAGGCGAGGTTTCTAGGGGATCTTGGACCAGGCTTTCCGGGTGAGGAGGTGGTGGTGGGGCGTGTCCTCAAGAACACACACCTTCTGGTTGGCTGTGGTTGAGGTGGGCGGGACTTGTGGAGGGCTCTTACCTAAGGGAGGTGTGGTGTCTGGAGAGGTGCTGTGCCTGCTCCCGGAAGCCTTCATATTCCCCAGGGTCTGTACCCAACGCTCAAGCTTTGTAGGATGAAGAGGATGCAGGTAGTGTTTGGCCACCTGGCCGGCAGGCCCGAGTCCAGCTCCGCGCTGCAGGCCGCACCCTGCTCCCGCAGGCCTCAGCCGATGACGTGGTGGTGGTGCAGGGACGGCGCACCCCCATCGGCCGCGGAGGTCGCGGCGGCTTCAAGGTGAGGAGCCTCGGGAGGAGGCCGGGACTCAGCAGGAGGCCAGTGCGGGAGGGAGGCCGCCCTCTGCTGGGTTCCCCGAGGCTGGGTGTACCCGAGCTGTGGTCAGTGTGTCCCCCGGGTGGGGATGCGGGAGGCGGGTCACAGCTGCCGTGCATCCCCCCCCTGCAGGACACCACTCCCGACGAGCTTCTGTCCGCCGTGCTGACCGCGGTTCTCCAGGACTTGAACCTCAGGCCGGATCAGCTGGGCGACATTTCCGTGGGTGAGCGCACCCGCGGGGTCTTCCGCTGGGCCCTTGGTGCACTCTTGCCTCCCCAGGGCCCTCCATCCTCACTGCTGACCGGGTTTCACTGAAGGGCAGGGCTACGGACTCCAGAGACTTGAATGGGACTGCTTCGCACAGCTAGTCTCAATCCCAGAGCCATGGGCACCCCCTGGAGGCACTTCTGCCTACGGAGCCCGGTGCAAAGCAGGGGAGCCTGTGGTAGACATTCTAAAGTCCAGATGTTCCAGGAGAATCTAGAAGGTGGGAAACCAGGGTTCTCTACCAACGCTGACACTCCAGCTATGCCAGAAATTGCTTAGCCCAGCCCTAGTTACAGACTCAGAGACTGGCCTGTGGATTTATGCAGATTTGCATCTGAACACAAAGCCTGCCTGATGTTTCCAACCCCTACACCACCACCCCCCTTGAACTATAACAACAAAGTACAGGACACAGTTTCATCCAGCAGGTGCCAGCCTGGGTCAGGCCCCAGTGTTCCTCCTTCCTGCAGTGTCGGCAAGGCTTGGAGGAGGACACTGGGGAGGTGAGCCATTTCAGAATCTCACTTCCCTCAGCCACAGGCCCAGTTCCGTCTACTTTTAAGCTTTGCACTGTGTTCCTCTTACCCTAGAGTCTCTCCTTTCACCAGGCAAGGCAGGTACTGATGTAGATGGGCAGGATGCCTGGACAAGAGAGATGGGGCTTCCAGCACTGGACTGCTGCATAACAAAGCAAGCTGTTGTGTGCCTGGCTCCCTGTTCCAAATCCTGAACCTCCACAGCCCCAACTGAGCCTCTATAGAGGATGTGGACTCCCAAAGAGAGATCTGACTGTCTCCTCTTTGGGACTTATGTTTGTACTTTAGGCCCCAGGATACCACTTAGCATTGACTAGAGGCTTTTTTTTTTTTTTTTTTTCCCCCACAGGCAAGGTGCTTCAGCCTGGGGCCGGAGCTGTCATGGCTCGGATTGCCCAGTTTCTGAGCTAATCCTTACTCTGTGTGCTGGATAGCTTTAGTGTCAACTTGACACACCTGGGTTGAGGGTGGGGATCCTGGCATTAGGGTTGGATCTGTGAGTGGTGAAAGATTAGGTTGAAATAAGATATTGAGGTAGAGTGCATTGAACTGTGCTCTTATGAGCATAACCCTTTCTCTGCTTAGAGAGGGTGCATTACTGGACCCACAGCCAAGACTCTCGAGTCTTTGAGACTTGGGCAAAGGTTTTCTGTGGCCTGATTTTTAAGGAAAGCTAAATTTATTACATAAGTTTTCCAAGTGTGGACTCCGTATGTTAAATAATCACATAACCACACTGACAGTGACTTTGCTTCCATTCCTAGTTGAGCAATCAGGGAAGGCTCATTCAGTCTTCAGAGGCTTAGGGCTGGGGTGGCAGCCCCAGCAGGAGGGGCGTCTAGAAGGAGCCCTGATATTCTTGGCCTTTCCTACAGGGAAGCAGTGATTCAATCACCTCAGGGGTAGACAAAGGCCCACTTCCCTTCTTGCTGCATGGAGCAGAAATAATAACACCACTAGCTAGTGAAAGAGCAGAAAAGAGGCAAAACCTGCACAACTGGGAGAGGGTCAGACATAGCCTGTGGTTCAAGGTCACCTCCTTGTGTCTCCAGATCAACTTTTCAGTTTCGCCCCACCTGCTTCCTCAACATTTCTGCCAGCCTGTCTGCCTGCTACCCTCCCTACTCTACCCATTCTGTCCCCATGGAAACTGTCCCTACCTGTTCTTCCTGCCTGAACTAAACCTTGCCCAAACATACTCTTATTCTGGACACTTGGCTTCCCCAAGCTCTCAGGCTTCAAATGAGTGATCTTCCTGTCCAATAGTTTCCTCCTGTGATGGGGCTTTGCACCTGGCCCCACAGTTTCAGTCTCTCTGTGTGCTGGGTAAGCAGCCACTGAGGCACAGTTCTGTCACCTCTGTCCAGTGGTGTGTTGTGCTCAGCGGCTGGTGAAAACTTGATGGATTTGGTAAAGATACTAACCAGGTGTTAGGGAATGAGAGGATCTGGGCGGACTTCAATGGGCCTAGGGAACCATCCTTCTAAGGGCCTCGGCAGAGCCTGGCTTGAAGCTCCAGCTCTGGGGTCCCCCAGTCCCTGACTGTGCATTAGAACCACCCTAATCCTGATGTGTTCACTCCGTGAGGTTCTCAGTGCATCAGTCAAGGGCCTGGGCATGTTCCTAGAGCTTTGTAATGTTGGCCAAAGCATGTTTGTCACTTTGGAGGGCAGTCATGGAAGCTCGAATGGCTGAGCCCAGAAAGCAGGAGACCAGTGGGTGCAGAACAAGTGTGCCAAGTGGGGAGACACTCCTGGAGCAGAAAACTGGGCATGACAGTCCAACCATGTTTACTAGAAACGCTGAAGGGTGAGGGTGAATGGTGGCTCATCCTCCAGACATGGCTCTGGCTCTAGTAGTCTGTCGCAACAACAGGTTTATTTGTCTGTCCTTCCGGGACAACTGAGATCCATGTTTCCATTGCTGATTCTTGAGGTGCTAATGAAGAAGAAGGCCTGTGACCCAAATGGGCTTCCCTAGCTGGCTAGAGGAGAATCATGGAGTGGAACTGCATGTACTTAAGGACCCTGGGTACCAAGTGACTGCAAAGACAGGTCTGCCCAGTACCTTCTCATGCATCTTCCCTGCTGCCTGTTGTTCCTCTCGTCTGTGTACACTCTGCTGGGGCTGTCATGAGTCCAGGAGCCTCATAAAGCCTACTTTCCCCAAGACCATGGCAGGGTGGGGGCTGATGCCATCTCCCTTCTATTTCAGTGGCATCCCAGAGACTGTGCCTTTGTCCACGGTCAACAGACAGTGCTCATCTGGGCTGCAGGCAGTGGCCAACATAGCTGGTATGTTATGACTGCTGAATCCCCATGGCCATAGCCTGGCTTTAGTCTTGAACCCCTGTGGTTGAGTGAGCAAAGTCTCTGTGCTGGGCCAGCAGTAAGCATTTCTGAGAGGTCTCTCATCACAGAGTGGAGGAGCATCCCTTACCTCAGCCCCAAGTCTTTTGGGGTGTTCTTGGGTCTTCTGTCTTTGAGGCTTCAATGAATGCACCTAGAGAGCAGGGAGGAGAGGGGCTGTGCTGCTCCCAGACAGATCCACTCTAGCCAAGGATGGTTATGAAATGCTTTTGTTTCAGGTGGCATCAGAAATGGGTCTTATGACATTGGCATGGCCTGTGGGTAAGAATTTCTTCTTGCCAGACCTTATTAACCAAAGCAGCAATCAAACTAATCTCCTTGTTCTGAGGGGCCACCATTTCAGGATTTTCTCTGGCATACCTCCAGGCAGTAATTGGGATGGACTCTCACAAATGCACCCTTGGAGTTGATCTCTAGCATTCTTTCTAGGAAATCAATCAGATTATCATGTTGGAATCTGTAGCACTTGGGTTTCTCCCAGTGCCCTGGCTGATGATTCCCCACGCTGCTGGGAGAAGAGGCAATGTGGGATCCCTCAAGTCAGGCACATTTCCTTACTATATAAATGTTCATTTTCCTAAACTGTTAACTTGTTCATCCCTCCTCCCCCAATACCAAGGAAGAAATCCCAACTGACTACTGTGCTCTGGGGCACATGGTCAGTTCTCTGTCACCTCTACCCAGATTGCCCCTTTGTCTTGATCTGTAAGTCAAGGAGCTGCAGAAGTTGTGCTTGACAGTGACTTCAGAGAGGAGCAAAATACTGGGGCCATCTGATGTAGGCTCAGAGTCTAGCAGCCTAGGTTCTGATGGGCTCCCACTGCTTCTCAGATTCTCTGTAGAGTGTTTCTTGAGAGGAAGCATTGCTAGTCCATGGAAATGTCCTGGTTGTCCTGTACTTCCTTGTCCTGACCTGTGTCTTAGTAGGAACATAGCCAAAGTTCGCAAGCAAGCACTGGGGCCCTTTGCTGTTTCTTGTGTTTGTCTTACTTGAGGGCAGCAGGTATGGTGGCTTGAGGAATAGGGCTGAGATCCCATGAGTTTCTCAGGGGCTTCTATTCCCAAGCAGGTTGAAGATCCTGGTGGTGGATACAAAGGATCGGGGTCTTGGATGCCCACATCACATCCCCACCTGACCATCCCCTAGCCTTTGAGAGTACATCTTGCTCAGGCGTGGACTAAGGACTAGTTGGGGTCCAAGCTGGGTAACAATGACCAGCTTCGTCATTTGTAAGGACTTTGTGTCACCATCTAAAAAAGGGAACACCTGTTTCAGCTCTGAGGATATTATATAAGGATTAAATGGATTAATTGAATTAATTAAATTTTAATTAAAAGGGTTAAATCTATGGTTAAGACACAGATGGCTCTGTGGAACATGTATCATTTGGTCACACACTCTGAAGGGTTCTTATGTCTGAAAAGTGTTCAAACAAGTGGCCAGATCTACAATCCCAGCTACTCTGGAGACTGAGGCAAGAATACTGCAAGGTCAAGGCCCACCTGAACTATAGAGCAAACTCAGGGCCAGCCTAGGCAATTTAACACTGTTTCAAAATAAAAAAAATTAAGACCCAGGGCTATAGTTTAGTGGTGGACTGCTTATCTGCCCTGTGCAAGGCCCCATGTTCAATACTCAGTCCTTCAAAAAGGAAAGAAAAAAAGAGTTCAAGTTAGTGCTAGAGTTTAGAAGGCACTTAGTTAAGGTCCTCTGTTATTCATGTAGCCTTCTCAGCACGTTCCCAGTGATTGCTGATTTCTCTACACTGGCCACCTGGCCTTCTTCTCAGTTACCCCACTAACTTGTCTATCTATGCAGGTCACGGCTTTCTGTGATGTGAGCTTAGTGCTCAACACTCCTCCCTTTTTCCTTTGACTTGAGGGGTGCCGAGGACTAAATCGGGCTGACTAGATATGTACTAAACTATAGGGGGCACTGGAAGACATCTCTGGGAGCCACTAGTTACTTGGCTCAGTGTTGCCAGACAGCCCCCAGAATGTGTTTGTCCTGGATAGAGGGAGAAACAGGGCTCAGTCACCCTGCAATCCCCACCCCACCTCACTGGCTAGGTACCTGCTACACTCCTTGAGGGCTTCATGGCTATTTCCCAGCACATGCCACATGGTTGGCCATCCCTGGGGCTTCCTACTAAGGCTCAACCTGTTCCTTCTCCTCCTCATGGTGGAGTCCATGTCTCTGTCCCCTAAAGGGAATCTTGGGAATCTTACATCACGCCTACTGGAGAATGAGAAGGCCAGAGACTGCCTGATCCCTATGGGGTGAGTGTCCTCATGAAGTTGTGTGTGTATGCCCACTCAGTGCTCTGCCTGTCCTCAATCAGATGCCAAGGAACTTTCTCCTCTGTAGATGGAAGTACTGAGCCTCCCTCCTTTGAGTGTCATGTGCTCTGCAGGGGCTAGGCAAGTGATTGATGCTGCCCATGACTTCTCTTTCCTGAGAACCTCAAGTCCTCTTTGCATCCCTAGGTATCCAAATACAGCCCATGCTCCCCACCCCTCCAACCAAGGTCCCAAGTCACAGGAAGGATGGTGGAAGCTGTCCCCAAAGCCTTAGAAGCCTGGAGTTGAGAAGGACATGGGGAACATCAGACTCCTGAACATGTAGGGGAAGAATTTAGGCCTGTAAGATGTGTAGAAAATCTATTTGCGCTCTCGAGAACCTTTACCTGCAGCTAAGTCTGTGAGCTTGGCCTCTGCCAGCATCCAAGGGCAGGAAGTCCTGGTTGCATTGGACATATGAGGAGAGAGGTTTTCAGTGGGTGGAAACTTGGCTTTGTCCGTATCTTGTCTCCACAGGCAGCCTGGAAGTCATAGGAGAAGCTGGCCAGGAATGGCCCGCTAGTGCTCCCAGCATCTCCTGCCACTCTCCTTGGGCTGAGATAGCTCACCTAGGAGACCATCCCTTCTGGAGGCAGACTGCCTCCCCATAGAGAGCTTGTCTTTGGTGTGAACCTCTGAGGATCTGGCCAGTATGGATGCTCCATACCCATGTGATAAGACAAAGTGCCACCTCCTGAATGCTCACCTGTCCCTGGGGCATGGACTGGACATCATGCCGCTGACCTGGATGCCCAGAGGCCCAAGCATAGCCCTTCAATGTGACCCTAGACCCCAAGTGACCAGACTTACAGCCTCAGCCTCCTATTTTGTTGTGTCCTAGGATAACCTCGGAGAACGTGGCTGAGCATTTTGGCATTTCTCGGCAGAAGCAGGATGCTTTTGCATTGACCTCTCAGCAGAAGTGAGTGTTGAGTGAGATGTTGACAGGTCTGAAGAGTCATGACCCCTTCCTAATGGACTGAACTGGAGCTGACACAAAGAGATTGACCAACCTCATGTCACAGCTGGGAGGTGGCAAGGTTCAGCACCATTGTTGGGTTTGGTCTACCGGGGCCTCTTTTTGACTGTTCTTAGAGTCTTCTCCCTAGCTGGGCTTCAGTTCTGTCCCCTTACTCCTTCCTTAGGACATAATAAGGAACAGAACCATGCTTTAGTTTTCTATGGCTTAGGGACCAGATCTGATGATCACTGGTTATTAAGCCTGGAGTATGGAGCCAGCAGTGCTAGAGCCCAGTCCTCTCAGCACGTGGGGAAGGCCAAGGCCTGGGGAAGTACCCTGAGGCCGCCCTCAGAGAAACCAGAACCTTGGGCCTCTGGACAACAGCAGGCTAGCCAGCTCAGGTGCCTGTGCACCTCTATTTAATATGTGACTGCAAAGGTCATCCTAACACTCCTTATGCTTCAACACTGTGAACAGGAAAATATATCCAGGAGATAACCTCACTTTTAAATTGAAGATGGCGAGCAGGTGAAATTGCACCTTTGGCAGTCAAACACGAGACTAGAAGAATCCAGCACAAATATTACTGAGAGTGCAGGCTTACTGTGGAAGAGATCATGGAACAGGCTTGACGGCCAGTAGATGTAGAGCATCAAACAACACTACCTCCAAACTCCCTGCTCCTGATTTAGTATGGGCCAAACATGATGCTGAAATTGGAGCTAATGATGGATAGGCCGGAAAGCCTTGGCATGCCTCCCCCTCCCAGAGGCATGTGGGGTTCAGTCAGTTGTCACGGGGATGGAAAAGCTCCTTAATTGCAAAGTCTGGGGTTGCATGTCTTCCTGAGCTGGCAAAGGCTGGGGACAGGCAAGAAGGGGAACCAAACATGCCTGAGTCTCGCTGTCCAGGTTGCCAGCAGGGCAGCAAGAGCCCAGAGCAGGGGCTGCTTTCGGGAAGAGATTGTGCCTGTGACCACCACTGTCCTTGATGATGAGGGCAACAAGAGGACCATCACTGTGTCCCAGGATGAGGGCATCCGACCCAGCACCACCATGGAGGGCCTGGCCAAGCTGAAGCCTGCCTTCAAGGATGGTGGCTCTACCACGGCTGGTGAGTACGGGCCAGGTTGGGCTGAGCCAGGTGGGTGGTTCTATTCTGACCAGGCCCTTTGGCAAGGCAATAGTAGGAATGCAAGTTCTATTCAGTTCAGCCTGATGCCTCCTCACCCTACTCATCCTCCCCTAGGAAACTCTAGCCAGGTGAGTGATGGGGCAGCTGCTGTCCTGCTGGCCCGGAGGTCCAAGGCCAAAGAGTTGGGGCTCCCCATCCTTGGGGTCCTGAGGTCCTTTGCAGTGGTTGGAGTCCCTCCTGACATCATGGGCATCGGACCTGCCTATGCCATCCCTGCAGCCTTGCAGAAAATAGGTAAGACAGCTCCTTCTCACCCTACACCTGGACCCCTCAGGCCCTGGGGCTATGTTGCAATTGTTTTGACCTTGTGGGTGGTATGGAGTGAAGGAGGGGCAGACTAGCACCCAGCACCAAAGACTGTGAATCCCACAGTTGGGACTCACTCACCCATCCCTAAGAGACAGACACAGTAGACTCCTGGGGCCAGCACTAGGAGCGGGGCCCTGGGAAGACCCTGAATTCTACCCAGGGACTGCTGTCAGCTCTGCTCTGTTCTTTGCCTACAGGGTTGACTGTGAATGACATAGATGTGTTTGAGATCAACGAGGCCTTTGCAAGTCAGGTGAGCCTGGGTCTTGGCATTGCATGGGTCCTGGGCTGCAGGGTGGATGCACGGTGGGCAGAGGCTCCATCTGCAGCTCTGGCTCCTTCCAGGCCCTCTACTGTGTGGAGAAGCTGGGAATCCCAGCAGAGAAAGTCAACCCTCTGGGGGGTGCGATAGCCCTGGGTCACCCCCTGGGTTGCACTGGGGCGCGGCATGTTGTCACACTGCTCAACGAGCTGAAACGCTGCAAGAAGAGGTGAGACTGATCTTCTCAGGGTGTTAAGGGCGTGGGTCACAGGGGATGTCTGAACTGGGGTTTCTGAGGAGCCAGGGCTTAAGGGAGGTGAGCACACACACAGGCACTCTGAACTGAGGATGGAGAGGTGAACCTGATCTTCCTAAGGTGTGGTCAAAAGGGACCACAGCCTGCAGAGCATGTCTGCCTCCTTCACCTGTGTCTGTGAGCAGTCTGGGGCTGAGTTCCCCCAGGTTTGCTCTGATGATCTTGCATCTTTGTTCACAAGTCCTTGTCTTCATGCTCAGCCTCATGTGGGCAGGGTTTGGGGTCTGGCTTTGCACAGCCAAAACAAGGTTCCTTTCTCCAGGGCATATGGAGTGGTGTCCATGTGCATCGGGACCGGCATGGGAGCCGCTGCTGTCTTCGAATACCCTGGGAACTGAGGCTCTGGCCGCAGGTGCTACCCAGAGAGTCCTGTGGCAGCCAGAGAGGGACACTGCAGAAGCCATCCACATGGGACACAGCACTGGAGGGGCGAGCACTGGCTGGATGAATCACAGCACTTTAATTTAGAAAATATGGTGACACAGTCCAGGAGCAAGTGGGACCACCCCATCAGGTGTCCCAAGCGGGGCTGAAGTACACGTGGGCCACTCAGGCCGTAAGGTCTATTGTATACCTCTGAGAGATGGTGGCTCCATGGGTTAAGGTGCAGTGGATGTAGTAAATGTGTGTTACCTCATTTTGGTGGCTGTCATTTCTTCCAGGGGCCAGGTTTTGCCTTGTTGGACTCTGCACTGCACAGTGATTATTAAGTGGCATGGTCTCCATGGTGGAGTGGCCTAGCTCTAGAGACTGTCATGCTGAGCCTCAGCTGACACCATTGCACTGGATGGGACTCCCCAGTCTCAGGAACTGCTCCAGCCCCATAGTCCATGTCCCTGTTCCTCAGCCCTGGACCATATTGACTTGCTGGGGCTGAGACTGAAGGCTGGGGAGCCTCAGAGCTAGTAAGGTGCCATGTATCTCTCATCATAGGAGCCTCGGCCCCGCAGCCGCAGGGTGCAGGCCTTCTCTCCCAGCATGCCTTCTACCAGCAGTGTGGACTCATATAGCCGGTGGCCCCTGGGCAGGAGATAGGTGAGGTTAGGCAGCCCCTGCCAGTGCCCGGGCCCTGTGGGCAGTTCCTTGGAGGCAGGAAGCAGCTCTCACCTGGCAGTGAAGAGCACTTGCAGGGGAATGGAGGTTGGAGGTGCATTGGTGGGTCGGGCCTCCAGCAGACCACTGCCTGGGTAGACCCCGAAGGCCTTCTCCTCAACCGGCTCCTCCTGCCCTGCACCGTGGGGAAAGAAAGACACACATGGGCACAGGGTGCTTCATATGATGATCCCCCCAGGACTTCATTTTCCCTAGACCAGCCCTGCCTCTCAGGTGTCACTCTGGTCCTGGCCAGCAACATAGAGCAGGGCAACCAGGGACTGGAGGACTGGTATATTCCAGAACTGCCAGGAGCCACCAGTGCTGAGGAGCCAGTCTGCACGGACAGGACCTCAGCAGCCCTTCCTAGGGGTCTTGCCCAGTTCCACCAAGGAGCAGTGGACAGGTGGGAGGGCACGACATACCCATCAACACAGTCCAGTAGCTTCGGCAGCCACTGAGGTTCATCAGGTAGACCATCCTGGTGCGCTGCTCATTCACAAAGCAGGTCCCGAAGTCCACCCAGCTGGTAGAGAGCTGCAACTCTGGCACAGCCACAAAAGCCCTCAGGGGCACCTCCTGGGGACCCAAGCCTGTGACTCAGTGAGAGATGAAGCATCTCTCACCACTGGGGTGGAGTTCTGACCTGGGGTTCTTGGGATACAAGGAATCCTGTCTCCCCCAAATACTGATGCTTCTGAGCAGAGCCAGGCCAGGATGGTGGGTAGCAGGGGCTGACACTACCACAAAGGCCAGAGGGGCAGGTGGGATTCTGCATGGCAACAGGCTAAAGGTACCGTCTGCCCCTCTGCCAGCCTCTTTCCCACCGAGTTCTGTGTTCTGCTCCCAGTTTGATAGGTCATCCATCCAACCTCTTTCCCCCTTTTTAGTCTCCTCCCTCCTGTGGAACCCAAACCCAACGTTCAGCAGCTTAGATTCTGAGCCAGGCAGCCCTTTCTCTGACCTCAGGCCCCTCAGCAGAGCCCCATGGCTCTGCTCTGCTTCTGCTTCTAGATTCTCTGGCATCCCCCCAAGTCTCTCTGTCAACTCTTCACCTGCAGCCCACCCAGGCACTCTGATGCCCTCAACTCCACTCTGATCTATGTTCTTCTAGTTGATGGAGCTCACACTGGAGCCCCACAAGAGCCAGCAGCATCCCTCACAGCTGCCTGGGGTGCACACTGTCTCCACCAATCAGACCATACTATGGATCTGTTCATGTGGTGTCCTTTCTCCCTTGGTTAAAAAGGACACAGGGTTCACCTATTGCCTCCTCCAGGGAGCACCTGGAGCTCCCATCCTCCAGCCCCTCACCCACAGGGCAGGGCAGGGCTGGGAACAGAGCCCAGCCAGGTGACATTTTCCTCCCTGGAGTGTGGGGCAGCCTCAGACTTGCCTGCACGGTCTGGTTGGTGAACCCTAGGAGCAGACCCTGAGTAAACACCATTTCTTTCTCTCCACTCTTGCTCTGCTGAATATCCACTCCGGGCAGCATCTGGTCAGCTGGGAGCTTCTGGTAGGACAGCAGCTCCAGGGACAGTGAGAAGGACACATCCACCTGAGCAGATGTAGACACAGCGTCACCCCAGGTGGCCTAGGCCAGGTGGCTTGCCCCTTCTGAAGCTCTGAGCTTTGTCTCCTGCTGCTCCCTGTGGTGTCTGCAGGTCCAGTCAGGTCCTCCTCATCCCCTGGATCAAGGAGCCTGTGGAGACTGGCTGAGCTGCCCCAGCACACAGCTCAACAGTGCCCCCAAGCCCTGGACACACCTGCTTTGTGCACAGCTTGTCAGGGCCGAAGACAAGCCTTTCCTGTCCTCGGGAGTTGGAGGCCAAAAGAAACAAAAATAAGGAAAGACTGTGTCTTTATCTTGAGGACATGAAGGGCCTGCTAGGGCCTGAAGCAGGGCACAGCCAAGCCAGCTTTACCTCCCACAGGGCCTCTGGCCACTGTGGGAAGCTGGGCTGCAGAAGTGTGAGGGGGTTGAAGACTGCAGACAGGAGGCTGAGACCACAACTCAGGCCAAACAGGGTGGGACCTGGGCTCATGGCCCCCAAAGACAGTTCCTTTGTAGTTCATCAGAATCAACTGGGAGTATTTACTAAGAAGACTCCTGGGCCTCAGCCCTGACCTTCATATGGAAAGGATTCCTGGAAGGGGGAGTCTAGGATCCTGCACTTGTTAAAAGCATTCTAAAGGCCACTGGTGTATTCCCAGGCTTGGAAACCGCTATCTTGGGCCAAAGTATATATTTAGTGATTAGGAGAACCAGCAACATTGACAGGTGGGAGGGGCATCCACAGGGCTTAGTGATTAGTCATCAGGAGGGGTTCAGGATAAGGAGGGCAGAGCTCTGGCTTGGGTAAGGTGGGGGTGGCTGACACTGCAAAGAGAAGGCTCCCTGTGGGACCACAGTCTTGAGGATGATGGGGAATTTGATGTACAGGGTAAGTTTGGGTCTAGAACTGAAAGAACTGAGATCAGGAGATCAGGTGCTTGGGTACTGCCTGTGCCCATAGAGTAAGATACAAGGCCAACATTTGATGCCAGTTTTTCTTGGTGTGCACTGTCCCTACCAATCAGACCACATCCTGGATCTGTCCGTGTGGTTTCCTTTCTCCCTTGGTTAAACAGGACACAGGCTTCACCTACTACCTCCTCCAAGGAGTACCTGGAGTTCCCAGCCTTTGTGTTTCCACAGAGCTGCCCAGACACTTCAACACCTGGTGGCTCACTCCACTTCTACACTGGGGCAGCTCAGCCCTAGTGGACAGGTCCTCCCTTCCCCTTAGCTTTCTTAGTGAAAAGCCTGGGCAGTGAGCAAGGGGGCTCTCCTGCCATCCTCTGCAGACTGGTGTCTGGCTCCTCCACCTCCACAGGCAGGACTTGGGAAGTCCCATCAGCCAGCACACAGCAGGCCCCCATTGTACAGACAGTGAAAGACACATCTGAAAGCATGCAGCTGCTCACTAAGGATCTGGAGGAGACAGACAAGATGACCCAAAATGTCAAAAGTTTGGCAAGCGTCCTGTTGGAGCCCGTGTGGTAGGGCGGGGCAGGGGAAAGGCTTCAAGGACAGGTAAAAGAGGGTCTTTTGAGGCAGGAAGGCAGGAAAAAGAAGGGCCTGGAAGTTGGCTGTCCTGGGCAAGCCTGTGTCCACCCAAGGAGTCACTATACTGAGGGCTCTACGTCACACCACACCCATGAAAGGCCTGGGTCCTAGTCCCACTTGAAATAATTGCATCTGAAACCCAAAGGAGGCAGAAGTTAATGGTTACTGCCAAAGCCCTGGCATTCCCAGATCACTCCACCTTTGAAAATACAGGTTTCTGTTATTATTGGTATCCTGTCAGAAGAGGAAGAATCACCCTTCACCCTGAGCGTATTACGTTCATGGCAATCCAACCAGGATGACCCCAAGCCAGGGCACTAACCCTTAAGCAAGGGGCACATGAGAAGGGAAGGAATGTGGTGTGATGTGGAGCTGCTCACTGCCCTCCACCAGGACATCAGTGGTGTCTGGACACATTTCTGAAATGCAAGTGTTTGTCTGCACTAGGTCTATTCTGTTTGTGTGCAACTCACCTACACAGAGAACCTGTATGTGCTGAAAAGGGCATGTCTTGGGGTCATGCACCTACAAGCGTTCATTTGCACCTGGTGCCCAGGTGTGAGCAGAGTGTGCAAGTCTGTTGCCTATATAGGCATCGAGGGGGCCATGAACCCCTGTACTGACCAGCATGCTCTGCTGTGGGCGAAGCATCTGCTGCTGGCCTGCAGAGGCTATATCCTCTTCAAATTCCTGGAAATGGGCTCTGCAACCCTGACTGGCCCCACCTGGAGAAACCAAGAAGGGCTGGGAGACCAGGAGCCGGAAATAGTGTGGGATTTCCGTGGTGTTGATCAGTTTTAGGTGGCGCGTGGTCAGCTGCTCACTCAGCACCTGGTGAGCAGAGAGGCAGGGAGGCCGGGATTGTGCATTCTTCCTTCTCCTCAGGCCCATGGCTCTTGGAAGGGGGCTAGTGCCCCCATAAGGACCCACTGGCACATGGGAGGTCCAAGTCAGTTGGCAGGATCAGGGTGGCAGCATACTCACCTCACAGCAAGGATGCTCCAGGATGAGGTCACTGGCTCGACACCGGAATTCCAAGTAGCCACTGCTGTCTAGCTCTGTATGCAGCCTGCCCAGCAACAGACACTGTTAAGGCAGCCAGATGCCTGAGCCCCCTGGCTTCCCCTGCCTGCTCCCTGGCCTCTGGCAGTCCATCCCTGCTTGCTCCTCCTCCCTCCTATTCCCGCCCTTTGGCTCTGGGAACCACCAGTGACAGGTAGCCTCCACAAGGAGACAGAGTGGAGGCAGGGAGGCCCAGTAGACTCACTGCGCACGCCTCACATAGCCATGCAGATCTAGTCTTAGGGGACCCACGGCAAAGCCCTGCAAGCGACGCCTTCGACCTGGAATCTCCCTTTCCATCTGCAGAGCCCAATCCAGCACAAATCACCAGTGGTTTCTGGGCTGAGCAGACAAAGTGGCACCCAGGTGAGAGGAGGTGGCTGTGGTACCCACATCCCAGGCTGGAAGACTCACCTCCTTATCCAAGCTCATGAAGCCCAAGGCGTAGCCGGTATACCCCACCTTGTGGGTAGCATCGGGGCCAAACACCATGGGTGTGAAGGAGATGTGGATGGTGCTGCTACCCCCAGCAGGGATGACCTGGCAGAAACACAGTAGCCTCAGTCCTGCCTGGGGTTCATTGGTAGGCCAGGGCAGCTCCACAACACAACACTCAGCCCTGCCTACTCACCACCTGCTTGGGGGTGATACGGTACAGGTGGTCACAGGGCACTCCCTCGTGCCCCTGCAGGATGACTGAGATGATCTGCTCTTCAGCCCTGGTGCCATCATTATTGTCCTCTGCCTATCACCAAGGAGACACTCCAGCTCACATGGCTCAACCAAACCCCAGATCACACCTCACCACGCCCTGCCCTCCTACTCACCAACAAGGAGATTGCATGGCTGGATTCCAACATATTGGAGGGGCTTAGGGACCCTGATAAGCTATCTTCAGGGGTCTCAAGATAGACAATTTCATTTCCGGCTTGGTCTCGCAGTGGGAAGGGTGGCCCATAGAACACCAGCAGCTCCAGCAGCCGGTCTTGCTTTTCTTCTGCAATATAGGTCTCCCAGTCCAGGCGGATGTCTGAGGCAGACGTGGAGGAGGGAGTGAAGATTAAGAGGGGAGCGGATGGTCTCATTCTGGCCTCCACTTCCTTGCTCACCATCTTCCTAATGCTGCTTCTTGTTTCAGAAAGTAGTTCTTTGGCTGGGAAAGTGGCTTAGTTGGTAAAGTGCTTGATATGCAAGCATAAGGACCTGAGTTCAAATTCCAGAACCACATGAAAATCTGAGTGACATGCACTTATAATCCTAGCGCTGGGAAAGTGGAGACAGACTGATCTCAGTTAGACTACTTGGCAAACCTCAGGCCGGTGAGGCCCTCTCTTAAAATATAAGATGGATAGCACCTGAGGAATGACATGTGTGTGCACATACTAGGTCTTCACTGGCTTAGTTACCTGAGGCCCTCATAATCACAAGACTAGTGTATTCCTCTCTCCCTAAAGTTTCCTGTCCCTTTGGTTTGTCTCTAACAGGTTGACCCTCCAAGTCCCAGGCCTCCACCTTCTCCCTGTCCATCCATCAGCTTTGGCCTGCTTTCACTCCCTTCCCTAGCCAGGCTAGCCTTTGGAGGCTATCTTCCCAGCAACCTCCTACCTTCTTTCCACCCATAAGGCAAAGCCTCACTATGGATGAACTCGACTGTACCGTTCCTCTAGGTACCTCTGGACAAGTCCCCCAAGATGAAGAGAAGGTACCCTATTCCTTCGTCTCTGGCCTAAGCTGGGTCCCAGCATTGCCCTCCTTCCCACCTAATGTGTTCTATGACAAGTCAAGTTGCTCCTGCCTCACCTGGTGCCTCCTACCTGTTCCCCGATGCTCGGGAATGCACCATGTGCAGCACCTCCTCTGGTTTGTTTCTGTCCTTGCACCCTATCTAGCTGCTTCCTAAAGGTATGGAATCTAGTTCAGACCCCCACTACCATGCAAAAGCTTCCCTCAGCCAGGCCACCTCCTCCACTGCCCCTTCTCTCTTCTTCATAGCAAGTTCCCAGGACCAGTTACCTATAGCCACCTCCAAATCTCTCATCTCTTCCCCAGATAGTTTGGACTTTCTGGATCTGCAATGTCGGGCACTGGGCCCGGCCCTGGGAAACACCTGGAGGATACAATGCCCAAGGATCCTGCTCTTATTTTTCTCTTGTTTATTACCTAGACCCTGCTTCTCAACAAGGTTACCAATGACCACCATATCCTGAATCCAGAAAACTAAAAAATGTGCATGTGATCTTGGGCATGAGGAAGGGACCCACTAAAGACAATGGAAATCAAGAGAAAGCCCACAGTAAACAAAGAAAACAGAATACAATTCACAAGAGGAAGAAAAATAATTAACAAAACGAATGCATCATAAAGATGGAAGAAATACATGGACTGACCAGTTGACAGTTTCCATTATAAGAGGATAGTTAGGCTGATGTCACAGGCCAATCCCAGCTATTTGGGAGGATGATGCAGGAGGATCAGAAGTTCAAGTCTCACCTGGGTAAATTCAAAGCTATCCTTAATGGGACCATGTCTAAATGAAAACCAAGAGGATGAGTGTGGAGCTAGCCCAGAGGGAGAACACTTGTCCAGGCATGAGTGAGCCCTTAAGTTGAATCCTTAGTACTACAAATCAAACAAAAAGCCCACAGACAATGTTATCCTGGGTTTTTCAAAAGATTAACTTCCTATTTTTTTAACCAAAACTACACAAGGTGGAAAGAGAAAACAGACTCTGACAAGGTGTCCTCTGATGTCCACATATGTACCCTCCTCCCACATACAAATAAATATAAATAAAATTAAAATTAAATATATCCAAGCAAGTCAGTGACAGTTAAAAACACCTAGGGGTAGAGGTTAGGGAGTTGAAGAGATGGCTCAGTGATTAAGAGCACTGGCTGCTCATATAGAGGACACTGGTTCTGCTCCCAGCACACACATGGTAGCTCACAACCATTTGTAACTGCAGTTCCAAGGATCTGATGCCCTCTTTTGGCTTCCATGGGCATTGCATGCACATGGTGCACATAGTTACATGCAGGCAAAACACTCATACACATAAAGTAAAAAGTAAATAAGTTTTAGAACATTTTTTAAAATAAACACCTAGGGTAGCAATGTTAATGTAAGGCAAGGTAGGAACTAAGATCAGTTACACTAAACTAAAGGGGCAAAGGGGAAATGCTATGGTGAGAGATGAAAGAATGTTCAGTGTGTGAAGAAGATTTCACATTCAAATGCATCTAACAATAGAGCAGCTAAAAAAATTTTGGAAATATAAGGAGAAACTTGTATTCAAGATACAGTGAGAGGGCATGCTAGAATATACTTTCAAAACTGCCCAGATCCAGTAGACCAGGAGCACAGTCACAGAGCCTCAGTTCTCTCCCACGGCTATACCTTCTTTAGAAGAGTTTAAAGATGACAGGGCTAGGCCCTGTCTCTTGTCACTGATCTAGCTGCAATCCAGCCATGAGACCTCTCAACTACCCCTCAGAGGATTCTACCATCTTCCTAATCTCTGAGTGGTCCATGAATCCTTCTATTAAATAATCATAGGCTTCCTCAGTTCTCACTTGCTTACCTTTCCTCCCAGATTCTGCCTAAGTGCCCCCAACAGGGACTTAGGAGACTCCTTTAAGGCCTCCCCTTGCATGTTGGATACACTGACATCAGGACAGAAGCCCTGAAGCAGAGACCCCACTGTCCTGTTCCCTCAGTGTCTACAACTTCTTGCATAGCACCTAGTATGTATCTTAGGTACTCCTAGTTGAGGGAATGAGAAAAGGGTGCCCTGGAAGTCTCTGTTCCTGGGCATAGTGACCCTGGTGACACAAGGTAGACAAGGGCAAGTCCTGTCTTCAAGGAAGGAACTGGCTCTCTGACAACCCTGCAATGGTATGGTCACTTCTCCACTTTGGACTTCTGGGTCTCTCTAAGGAGCCACAGCCCATCTAGACTTCTGGGTCTTGTTCATGGTCATCAGCTTCCCCAGTACCATCATCTCTCCCTGCCAGACAGCCCACCCTAACCATAGCATGAACATCTCACCACAGGGGCTGGAGTTGTACAGACGGAGGTTTCTGATGATGGTGTCTCCTCCAGAGATCTGGGTCCCAAACCTGGAGGGAGAGACAAGACAGCCTCAGCCAGCACACACCTTACAGAAAGTACAGCTTTGGAGAGGAGCCCTAGGTGGAGTTCAGGCCATAGAGGCTTCCGTTGTCTGTCCTAGCCCTGGTAACCCCTAGACCCAGGACTGGAGGCCTGGCTCAGAGTGTGCTGGATGAGCTGTCACATCAGCCCACTGCGCTGCCCTCTAACCTGGGCTCATCAGATGAACTCTAGCTCATCTGTGTGAAGAGTCCCAGAGTCTGGTACTACCTCAGGTTACTTCCCCTACTCCAAAATCCTCAGAGATATACAAACGACAGCCATGCCCTCCAAGGCAGCTCTTCTTCAAGATGGCCTTGCCATGGAATCTCCTTATGGATGACCCCAGGTGGCCTTGAGCCAGCTGGAGAGCCAGGAGTTCATACAGGTAGCCCAGGCTGAAGGTCAGAGGGCTTCAGGGGTCATTAGGGAGCAGAGACTGAGGCTGAGGCTAGGCACCTGATGATAGGCTCCTTCAGAAACTGATCCACGCTGTAGCAAGTATTCCTCAGGGAGCTGATGGGACAACCCACGACTGCCATGTACACCGGAATGACAGTTACTGGCAAATCTCCCACCTGCAAACATACAAGCTCTTTATCGCTGATGGCCACTGCACCTTCCAAGCAAGATCTCCACCTTTCCAAGCACCACAGTGTCCCCAGAACTCTGGCCTAGCTGAATCCAGCCTCACTCCCATTCCCCAATTCCCAATCTAGACACCCCTAGCCTGGGCTTCTCTACTCCCATTCCCTGACCACCCTTCCCTCCCCGCCTGGCCTGCTACATCCAGCCTCAAAACCTCTGGCCTCTGTGGTCTCTTTGATTAAATTTCTATATTTTTTATGGAAATAACTAATGATTTCCCTCTGCCAATTGAAAATGATTATTTTCAGGAGAAAAATAAGCATGCTAACGACCTCTGGTTCTATTCCTGTACAGGACTCACTGTTATCATTTTATTATTTATTTCTTTTGGGGGGATTTTATCTTCTATTTATGTATATGTGTGTGCATGACTCCGTGTGTATGTCATATGAATGGGGGTGTCCACAGAGGCCAGAAGAGGGCATCAGGTTCCTTGGAGCTGGAGTTACAGGTTTTATGAGCCGCCTGATATAAGTGCTGGGAACCAAGCTTGGGTCCTTTGCAACAGCAGCAAGTGCTCTTAACCACTGAGCAACCTCTCCAGCCCCACTTATTCTTTATTTTTGAAACAAGGTCTTATGTGGCTCAGGCTGGCTTTGAACTCACTATGTAGCTGAGGATGACCTCGAACTCCTAATCCTGCCTCCATCTCCCGAGTCTCCTGATTACAAGTGTTCACCATCATACCTGGCACCATTGCCATTTTAGCATACAATCATCCACTCTTCCTTCCTGTCTATAAGATATAGACTTACATGGGCAGCATGCCAGACATGTTTTTCTCATTTCTCTTAACAATATGAGAGAGCTTTACTAGAAAAGGTTTACACTTTCTAGCATTTGAGAATGGGCTTTACAGAATTTCCCCTGTAAGGATAGATAGTAGTTCATCTCTGTGAACAGCCCTGGGGTCTGGTTCTACCTTGGGCCACTTTCTGTCCCTCAAAGCCCAACGAAGGGATATATTGATGGCCCTGAATCTTTCTGTTGTCTCCTTTCTTCCCTCAGTTAAAAGCAGTACTCAGAAGAAAAGTTACCTAGATCCACACATCTTCTTTCCATGGGACACTACTTTGAGAGCCATTAGGCAGTCACCACCTCTTTACCCATCGAGCTCAGAAGCACCTTTGTCCTGTACCTTCACCATCAACTTTTATAAAAAGCCTTGCTAATGGTGGTGCACACCTTTAATCCCAGCACTTGGGAGGTAGAGGCAGGCAGATCTCTGAGTTTGAGGCCAGCCCAGTCTACTCAGAGTTCCAGGTCAGCCAGGACTACCTAATGAGAACTTGTTTCAAAAAAACCAAAAGAAGGGGCCACAGCGATGGCTCAGCACTGATTTCCTCTTGTAGAGGACCAGGGTTTGATTCCCAGCACCCACATGGCAGCTAACAACCATCCATAACTCCAATTCCAGGAGAATCTGACTCCTTCTTCTGACCTCCGTGGGCATTGCATGACACAGGTGCACTTACACACATGCAGGCAATACCTCATACACATAAAAAAACAAAATAAAACAAACCCTAAAACCAAAAGAAAACTTGCCAATCTGTCAAAGCCAGTGTGTCATGGCCATTTCACTTTGTAGTCCTTCAACTACTAGTGATGGTGACAGCTGAATGTTTATTGGCCATGTGGACCCGTCATTCTTTGGATTGCCTACTAAAGCCCTTTGGTCACTTAGTATTGTGGTTTAATGTGAACTATCCCCCATAGGCTCACATGTTTGGACACCTGTTTCCCAGCTGGTGGCGCTGTTTGGGAAGGTTGTAGAACCTTTAGGAGGTTGAGCCTGGGTGGAGGAAGTGGGTCTCTGGGGGAGGGCCTTGAGGTTTTATAAGTCAACTCCACTTCCTGTTTACTCTCTGCTTCCTGAGTTCCAGGCATTGTGACCACCAGCCTCTTGCTCCTGCCCCATGCCATCCTTGCCTGGGATAAGCCCTTTCTCACTTAAGTTGCTTTCATCTGGATATTTTATCACAGTAACAAGAAAAGATACTTGGAAGTGAATTCCCCTTTACTGTTACTTAATAACTCTGTACTTTGATGTAACACATCAATGTTACACATGCAACAAACAATTTAAAGCGAGTGTCTACTATACTTCTATTCTGTACTATAATCTACCTGGTTTAATTTCCTAAATACCTTGTGAAAATTCTTGTAACCATTAAACAATGTAGAATCTTGTATGCACATTTCTCCCTCCACAGTAAACTAGGAATTCCCAGTTGGAGTCATCTGTTCCTTTAATCAGTACTGAGGGCTGTACAGGAATCTATATACAGTAGGGGATCAGTGTTTACTAGGTTGAGAGGTAAATGAATGGACCACTGAGCAAATAATCAAATGCATGGGGACTAGGTGAAGCTGTGGCTCTGGGAGGTTGTCACTGTCCCTCAACTCCTTATTCATCTCTCCAGATCTCAAGTCCTATTGGTTCCTATCCTTTCCACTGTAGTCCCACCCCTGTACCCCATGGAGAAACCACAGAAGTTTCTACCACTCAAAAGAACTCCACTGCCTGAACCATCTCACCTCGACCCCAGAGGTTGCAGCAGATGTGCATGCCCAGCTGACATCAGTGCGAAGCACCTTGCAGTATAGTGAGCTTTGAGAGACTGGGAGCCACAGTTGACAGAGAGGAAACCAGGTGTGTGTCCTTACCATGCAAAAGAGGTTGTCCCAATACTCGCCCCACATGTTAGCACAGCCTGTGATATCAATGCTCAGCTGCTGGTAGGCTCCTAGAGTGCCCTGGGAAATGTTGGGGAAGAAAGCAGCTCCTTTCTTGTGAGATAACACACTCTCCATAAAGTCTGGAAGAGAATGGGGAATGGAGGGTCAGGGCCCTGGACTTGAGAGGGAGGTCTAAATCCTCAGGAGTTAGCAAAGCTCTGCCCCAGTCAGGCTACCATGCAGCCTATATTCAGTCAAGAAGCCAATTCAGGCTGACCCTGTTTAGCCAGCCTCTTATTCCTCCTAAGAGGTCAAGCTCCAATGAGCCCTTCCTCATGAGCCACCACCAGTCCAAGACAAAACCACGGCCTAAGCATGAGTGCAGCCCCTAACAGGGGAGGGGGGACTATCAGGGAGAAAGCCTTGACCATCTTGGGGACCTCATTGAGAAATATACCAAGAGGGAGCCTCTGGTCCCTGTCCCCCTCTCTGGAAGGTGCTGACCCACATCCTTAGAAGGTTATGTAAAACCTAACTTTGGCCATGACCTGGGCCCAACAGTCTCTACTCTGGTAGCTCTTACCCATGCGTTCTTTCTTGGCCATGTGCTCTCGGATACGTGCTGTCTTTAGCAGGGCAGGAGGCATGTCAGGGCTTCACAGAGTTGAAAAATAGCACTTAAGTACTCAAGCCTTCCCACACCCATGGTAGCAACATAAGGACAGATGCTTACCCAGGGAAGGTAGCCCTGCCTGCTCTTCCCAAGGGAAGCTGGTCAGGTCTCCTCTTCATCTCCTTTAATCTTTGTTCCCACTGGACCCCTAGCATCCCAAGTAACCTCAGCTGCAGGCTACCCCATAAGCTGCCTCCCATGAAACCCACATGGGCTCTGAGGTAGAGATCCTACTGCCCCAGATGTAGACCCAGTCCCACGCCTCCGTCTCTTGGGCAGACTTACAGCAGCCCGTCTCCACTCTACCCTGCTGCTCCTTTTCCTCCATTGGAGGCCCACTAACATGTTGGAATAGAAAGTTACACATTTAAAAACTGTTTATGACTCCCCCACAACTCATGACGTGTGTGTGTATGTGTGTGTGTGTGCATATGGAGTCAGGGCACGATGTTGACTGTTCCCAACACTGGGATTACAAGTGCACACCACCACTCTCAGGTTTTTATGTTTCAAATGGGTTCTGGGGATTGAACTCAAGTCCTCAGGCTTGCAAGGCAAGTACTTTACTAACTGAGCTATTTCTCCAGTCCAGAAGTGGGTTTAAATTGGGCTTTTTTGCACAAATAGGTGGTGACTGCCAACAGTGGTGTACCAGTAATTGGGCTCCAGGAAAAACAAAAGTCCTAAATTATAGTTTTTTGTCAGTCTTTGTCATAGAAATGCTTTCAAGTTACATCTTGAAAAATTCTGAATATTTAATAATTGACTCTCATGGGCCAGTACTGGCTGGTTCTGGCACAAACGTGTGTGTGTGTGTGTGTGTGTGTGTGTGTGTGTGTGTGTGTGTGTGTGTGGTGTGTGCATGTGCATGTGTGTAAGCACTGTATGTATGTATGTGTGTGATATGTGTGAAAGAGAGAGCCAGAAAGAGACAAGATAGACAGACAGAAAGGAATACACACATATCACTCCAGGCCCAGCCTCTGCCCTGACCATAGCATCTCTGTCAATCTGCCATAATTATTGGGTACTTTTTCACACCTTGGCCTCTCCACCTATCAGCCTAGACCTATGATCCAGTGTCCAGGACAATCACTGTTCTAAGCCCTCATCCCACATCTCTGTCCACAGTTTCTTCTGTCTGCAGTAACATCTCCCTTATCCATCCATCCTTCCTGCCTAATCTCAGAAGACCTTCATATCAGAGGCCAGGCTGAGGAGAAGGACCCAGAAGCCCATCCTCTCCCATAGGCCCACTCTGGGTCTGCAAGGTGGACAATAAGCCATCTCTGCTGTGGGTTTCCCTACATCTACCTGCAAATCAGATCCCCGTACCTCCATACCAACTGGCCTCCAGCCACCAAAGCCAGAAAAATACCCAGTGGAGATAATGCCACTTCACCACACTTATCCTGAGAAATGACCCTGAGAGAAATAAAGACTTACCAGGTTGTCTTTTTGCTCAGGCTGTCTTGGGAACTCCCAAAGTACTCAAATGTAAGGGTGAAGGAGGTTTGTATCGGGGAGCAATTTGTCAGGATGAGCTTGCGGGTCACATGGGTCCTCAGTGCCACCTTCGAGCCGAAGTCCAAGCGGAGCTCCTCTAGATGGCCTGGCCACTGCTTTGTGCTGACAACACTGCCCCATACCATGGGCATCACATTACCTGCCACCCTTCTCCCTGTTCAGAGAGCCACCCTGGGTGGGGTGTGGGAGCTGCCCAGGGACCCAACTTCATTCTTGACTCCCTCTTCATGGAGATGCCATTCCTGGCCACCCCTCCTGCCAAACCACAAGGCTAAGAGAAGACTCAAACTTCACAAAGTGCCCCAGTGGAGTCAGAATGGCATATCTCACAGTTTCTGGGCCTCCTATGGTATAGCCCTGTTCCTTGCCATCTCCTACCTGCCTAGATACTATGTCTCCCAGTGGATACAGAAAGGCCACACAGAGGGATGGAGTAAAGGATTGCCTGTTGCAGAGGTGGTAAGGACCTGTGGCAACCTGATGGCTGTCTCCCAGCTAGGAATCAGCTGAGGAGAAGGGAGGAACCAGTACCATTGTGCAATGCCAGCCCTCCCTGGGACTGCCCCCAACTCTGGACTCACCTGCCATCAGCGCCCTCTACAGAGATAGTGATGGTCACTTGCAGTCCCTGAGGCTTCCCAGAGATGCCTAGGGCTAGTGGTTTCTCCATGCCAGATACATGACAAGGCAAAACTAGATCAGTCAGCTCTTCCTATAAGAAAGTTAGTCTGGGTCAGACACAGGGCCAGGGCCCTGATGGTACTCCACTGCTGTGGGTACCTCAAAGGCCTTGGCCTCTGTCCAGGTTCTTCATTGAGGGAGGGATCCCAGGGCCTGCTGGTGAGCCAGTCCAATATCTGGACCCTAGAGGCCTGGCCCATCCTCCAGGTTTATGACTGAGTCTGCCCCACACATCTGCACATGCTCACAGGAAGTCACGATGGTTGATCTTGATAGTCAACTTAGGGAAATAGAATCATCATGGAAACAGGGAATGTCTGGGAAGGAGACTGGCTTAACTGAGGTGAGAAGACCCACCCTAAATGGGGGCAGCACCATTCAATGGATGGGAATCCCAGACTGAATAAAAAAGGGGAGCCAGCTGAGTACCAGCATTCACCTCTCTCTGCTTCCTGCCTGCAGGTACAATGTGACCAGCTGCCTCACATTCTTACCACCATGACTTCCCTGCCATGATGGTCTAAAACCTCAAATGAGTAAAATAAATCTTTCCTTCCTTAAGTTGTTCTTGTCAGATATTCTGTCAGAGCAAGAATTGATGGGCTCAAGGAGGCGGTTCCACGCCAGACTTGGGCCTGTTATCCTGGAGTCCAGGCTCAGCTATGTAAGAAAGCTCCCTTGTCCCTTGTCTGCCAAGGAGGAGCCAGGGGCTGAGTCTCCAGGTCTCTGCAAGTTGTCCTCTGACCTCCATATGCATGCTGCAGCACGCATACACAACAAATAAAATGTAAAACAGAAATGAAATCATTTCATCTTTAAGGAGTTGAAGATTCTTCTCTTCCCATAAAAACTACACAGGGATAGGTAGCAACACCCAAGTACTAAGCATGCTCTACCTGGGGGCCTTCCTCTGGGATACTCCAGGGAGAAGCCAAACTGCTCCTAGGAAGACCCTGGTCACCTGTTAGTATTCCTCGGTAGCATTCAGAACAGCACCTGCTGTGGACCTCTGCCCAGATTTCTGGACAAAGTGGAGTTTTGGGCTGCCTGAGGCCACAGACAGTTGCCTAGAAAAGGCTAGATCTGGTAACAGAGTGGTCAATGGGTCTCAGGGCACATCTGAGCCTATGAGAGGCTTCCTGGCCTTGTGGCCCCAGAGAGTAGGCCCAGAGTGAAAAAGGACCCTAAATTCAAATACAAGAAATTCCTTCCCCACTCATGAAGAGCAGAAGTATGGTGTGAGGTAGCCCTCCCATGAAGCATAGGAACCAATGACTGGGCAGTGTGCCTTCCCAGACACTAAGAATCCCCAAACTACCTTACTCACCTGTGTGTGGGCAGTGAACTCCAAGGTGAGCTGGCGCTCCTCACTGGAACCCAGAAGGCCATGTCTGGGAGAGACTGTCACTGTGCACAAGGCTGCTTGAGCCCCAAGGAGCTGGAAGACACAGGAGTGGGAATGTTGTCTCTCTCAAGGCTCCCAGAATGGACCAAGGTCCACACAGAGTGCTAACTGAAGGCCAGCAGATTGAGGCTCACAACAAGCTGGACAGGGATGGGGTGCTTCTGGGAATAAGTCACAGATCCTTTGTCCCAACCCTGGGTGGGCTTCACTACCCACCATGGAGCTGCCTTGTCAAACTGCCCTGGGAAGACAGAGTGATGGAGACCAGAGAGCAGCTGCCTCTGATGCATCTCTCATGATGCTCAAAGGAAACGCCACTGTGAACCACAGGGGCATTGCCACAACTAGGCTCCAAACAGCTGTGTGGACCAGCTCTGGGCTGTTCTTGCTGGGAGGCTCCAGCTTTGTTCACCAGGAACCCCTTCTTGGGCAGGAAACTAGAATCCTCTAAAGATGATGCAGTGAAAAATTGGACTAGCTGCACTGCTCTTGAAGGAGTCAAACTTTACTGTGCACAGAGGTTGGAGCAACAGGCTGTGGGAGGCTGAACATCCATTGTGGGAGTGGGGCCATTCTGGAGGGCACACACATCTCTGTGGCTGAGAGCTGCAAACTGCTCACTCACCTTGCCCCAGTGGAACCGGGTGGACAGGAGTGTGCCGTTGATGAGTGTGATGGTTGACTTTGTGGGCACACCCAGGTAGAGGTTGCTGATCTCCACATGGCTGCTCTGCAGGTACAAGTATGGCTGCTGTACCTCAGCATATACCGGAAGGTAGCTGGAATACCAGAAATCACATAGCATACTGATCAGAAAAGAAACAAAACGATTCCAACTTACAAATGGCATGAAGTTGTCTATGTAGAAAATCCCAAAGAATCTAATAATAGAGAAAAAAAAAAGATAAAACAAGGAACCCCTGTGGAGACAGAGGCAGCTGCCTGGTCTACATAGTGAGTTTCAGGCCAGCTAGGGCTATATAATGAGAACCTATCTCAGGAAAACAACAAACAAAAAACCAAAAAAACATACACACACACAAAAACAAACAAAACTCCTAAAACCATTTCAGCAAAGTTACAGGATACAAGCTCAGCATTCAAAAATCAACCACATTTTATACTCTAACAATTAGCATGCAGAAATAAAAATACTATGCCATTTATAATCACTCAAAATGGAGAAACTCTAAGGACAATACTCTGAGCTTATTTCAGAGTGGTTGCTCCCCCTCTTTGCCTCTAGTCAAACAAAGCAGATACTTTTTTCCATCTTTACCATGAGAATCTTTGAGTCCCTGTCCCAGTTAGTTTTTGTCAGCTTGACAAATCATAGAGTCACCTGAGAAGGGAGTCTCAATTGACCGACTGTCCAGATCATATTGGCCTGTTGGCATGTCTGTGGGGAGCTACGAGTGCCTTCAAGGCCAGCCTGGGCTACATGAGACTCTGTGTCAGAAAATGATGAGAAAGGAATGGCAAGAAAGAGGAAAGGAAGAAAAGAAGGAGTATGGGAAGTATTTAGCGTCAAGGGAATTCAGAAAGGCAGGCGGAGGATGAAATAGAGCTTATATTGAGTTGGTAATTGCTGAAAGTAATCAACGAGTTCATAGGGACTTATAAAACCTTTGTGTGCATGAGAAATTTTCCACTACAAAGGAGGTGGGGAGGGAAAAGGCAAGAGGCAGAACGGGGAAGATCATTACTGCCGTCTAAATCTCCAGTGTGTTCCTCTCAGAATATGACAGTATTTGTACATATAAATGTGTCATAGACTATTTTATGTTCATTCTCCTGCCTGTGAACATGGATGTTTCTAGTTCTTCACTCTTTTCAGCTTATTAGGAGACAAAATATGTTTTTGAAGGCAGCTGCATCCCTTTAGCAGAACAAACCATGTACCTATAGTGTTTACAAGATTTTATTTTTTACTTATGTGTATGTGTATGTATGTGCCTGTGTGTGAGCATGTGCACATGTAGGTGGGTACCCTCTGAGGTCAGAAGAGGGCATCAGATGACCTGAAGCTAGAGTTACAGGTAGTTGTGAGCCACATGACATGCGTGCTGAGAATTGAACTTTGGTTCTCTGGAAGAGCAGCAAGCACTCTTAACTACTGAGTCAGCACTCCAGCTCCCTGTAGCTGTAGTTTTAAACCTAGAAACGTCTCTAGAGAGCTGGAGAGACAGCTCAGCAGTTAAGGGCACTGGCTGTAGAGGACTGGGGTTTGGTTCCCAGCACCAACATGGCAGCTAACAACTATCTGTAACTCCAGTTCCAGGGGATCTGACACCATCTTCTGGCCTCCACAGGCATTGCATGACATGGATCCACTTACACACATACAGGCAAAACACTTATATACATAGAATAAAAATAAATAAAAAATTTTAATGTCTCTAGATATACAGTTGCACATGCTATAAATATACTGTGAATATACACAGTCTGCTGTCAGCTTCCCATGTTGAGTCCCTCCATACCTCCAGGTCCCATTTTCCACTTCCAGCTCCAGTACAGTCTGTAGACGCTGGCAGTGCAAAGTCTCTAGGGTGATGGTCACTTTGCACTCCCCCAGAGGGTGAAGCTGGCCTCTGCAAGGCTCAATGTCAAAGGGAGATGCCTAATGCCAATCCAGAAGAGGGAGTGAGGCGTGAGACACAGTGAACTGCAGAGGCACTGGGAGCAGACCAGGCCTGACCACGATCCTGCCCTCAAGCTGCCCTAGGGTCTCATAGGCATCTATGATCCACGAGAACCACAGCTGGGTGAGGATATCAGGATTAACAGGCCAAAATCTGAGTCTTCAATTAAAGGACTACCCAAGACAAGCTTCCCACACCAAGGCACACATCTAAGAGGTAGAAGGCAGAGGAAGGTGCTTGGGGTGGGACTGAGGAGAGCAAAGCAGGCAGGTGGCTGCTCTGGCTGGGGAGCAGGAAGACAGCTTAGGAGTCATGGGGAAAGTGGTCTGAGCAGGCCTAAGTCAAGCTCTGACAGCTTCAACTGAGGCTAGCCATCAGGCCACCCCTCTGGAGAGGGAAGAAGCTGTCCATAGACAGGATTTCCCCTTTACCCCCCCCCCCCACTACAGGACTGATTCATTCGCCAGCAAGTCAGCCCTTCCACATACACATAAAGGGTGAGAAGGTGCACCAGTGTGGCAAAGTGTGTCCTCCTGTGCCTGATGAACAAGGGCACCTGTGTGGGGGCTGGAGAGATGGCTCAGTGATTAAGAGCACTGACTACTCTCACAGAGGATCTGGGTTCGATTTCCAGCACCCACAGGGTGACTAACTGTGTCTGTAACTCCAGTTCCAGGGGATCCAGTACTCTCTTCTGATCTCTGTGGGCATTGCATGACACAGGTTCACTTACCTACATGCAGGCAATACACTCATATACATAAAAGAAAAATAGTAAAATATTTTTAAAAGGAAGGGCACCTGTGTGATTGAGTAGCCTCAGGCCCCCGTATGGGCCACAATGGCTACTGGGGGTGGGTGTCACTGGACAAGGAAGATCAGATCACATTGGAAGGAACATCTCCTCAATGAGACAGGCTCGAGACCACAACTTCCTGGAGGTACCACGTGACCCGGATTTAACCCCTCCCCTCCATCACAGGGTGACCTTGAGAGTCTGATCCTTCAGTCTCCATCTGCTGACTGCTGGGATTACAGGCATCATGTGCCACGACGGTTTTGTGTGGTGCTGGTGACTGAACTGCATCCTTAGAGGTTGAATGTCCTTTGTGGCGTGCCTGGGTTTGAGCCACACCAGCCGCCACCTGGTGGCAGGTACTCAAACTGTAGCCAACATTTCCCAGATGGACAGGCGCCCTCTGGGTGAGGCTGGGGAGGAGGGAACAGGGCCTCGCGTGGCAGCCTTAGGAGCTTCCTGACTCCACTGGCTGCTGCCTTCTCTGAAGGAGAAACCTATGTTTGGCCCCTTCTGCATCCGATGGCGGAAAAGAGAGCGGGAAACGTCTGTTAAGTTGGAGGATGGATTCGGCCATGGAAAGGAGCTGCCTCACAGCAGGTGTCCCAGTTCAGACCAGGGTCCAGGGGAAGTGGCAGAACCCCACTTACATCCTCCTGCCTCTCTGCCAAACACACAGCGCTCTCCTTCAAGCACCACGCAGCCGGTAGCTGACTGATATTCCGGATATAGATGGAGCTCGAAGCCTTCTGCCCCAGGCAGAGCAGACCAAATTCAAGGGCTGAGACATCTATGACCAGAGCAGGACCCTGAAACACCAGAGCTGCCTGTCACGCAGAACCCCACTTACATCCTCCTGCCTCTCTGCCAAACACACAGCGCTCTCCTTCAAGCACCACGCAGCCGGTAGCTGACTGATATTCCGGATATAGATGGAGCTCGAAGCCTTCTGCCCCAGGCAGAGCAGACCAAATTCAAGGGCTGAGACATCTATGACCAGAGCAGGACCCTGAAACACCAGAGCTGCCTGTCACTGGCTGCCTGCCTGGGAATGGGCTGCCCCCCCCGCCCCCCCCGGGGCCCCTCCCCC